AGTCACCCAAATCACCTGTGCCTCAGTGCCCTCATTTATTAAGCAGGAATAACAATAATACCTATATTACCTTCCTCACAGGGCTGTTGTAAAAAATACTTTACGAATTCATTCAAACAAATATTAACAAATATTTATTACTTTAAGGTGCTACAAGAAGGATAACATTGGGAAGGAAGGCTGCACTTATAGGAGAGGTTTTTCATAGTTTTTTGTGTCATGGCCCCCTGAAACGAGATTCTTGGAATTGTGTTTTTAAATGTATAAAATAAAATACATGGCATTACAGAGGGAACCAATTATATTGAAATACAGTTACCAAAATAACAGGACTCATGGTAAGAACCCCTGACCCCAGGAAATCTCTGGGTTTGAATTCCATCTTCTGGAGCTTTCAGCTGTGAGACCACAGGCAACTTATTTAAATTTTCTGTGTCTCAGTTTACCATTTTCACACCAACTCATCGGGCTCTCTACGGTGAGAGACAGTAAAGAATACAGTAGCTCCCCCTCCCCACCACAATCCATTAAACAAAGAAGGTTCTGAATGCTCCCAAACCTACCAACTTTGGCAGAATAAGACCAGCAGAACCTCAGGGAGTTCGGCTATCAACCAGCCACCAATTCCCCTGGCATTCTCCCCCAGCATAAGACAGCTCTAATCTGGAACCTTGTCCTTGACTCCAACTCCCTACCCCCAGTGCCTGGTCCTATTTGACCCAGATAAGAACCCTATAAAAACCCACATTGCTTCCCTGTGCTGGGTGCCTAAATCCATCTAGGACCCCAGAGGATTGGCCTGTCTCTCCTCCTGGACCGTATCTTCATTCTATGAGGATCCTCACCTCTATTAAGTGTGATTACTTTACTCTGACCCCTCCTGTCCTATCTGTTCTCACCTTTGAAGCATGAGCTGTTGTTCAGGACTGTGACTAGTGTTCAGCAGCTGTACCTACAACCCAAGTCTTGGGATTCCCAAGTGAATGATAACAGAAATATTATCATTATTGTTCTAACTCTGTTCCCCCCACCCCCTCCCCATAGTACTAGTCTTGTGTTGTAACTTCAAGGACCTTCTTCAACAGTGGGGAAAAGAGGGGTAGATGCCGATGTCAGGACTCTCCTAATGGAGACCCAGAGTAGTGTGATATGTGGGGAGCACCAATGGAGGGCTGAGAATTCTCTGATGACTCTCTCCTTTGGGGTAAAACATGTATCAATCAATCAATCAATCAACAAGCAATTGTTACTTAAATATATTACAAGAAAGGGCACCTCACTATGTAACTTGGGACATTATTTCACCTCTCTGGGCCTCAGTTTCCTCATCTGTATAAGAGAGGGCTGGACTAGATTTGAACTTTATATTGCAGAATTGTAGAGTTGGGAGGAACCTCAATGGTCATATTTAACAGTCCTTACATGAACAAGAATCCCCAACAGGTGGTCATCCAACTTGGCTTGAAGCCTTCCAGGGAGGGGGACCCCCTCTCCTGAGGAATTCCACTAGACAGATTGAGATATATATAATGTGTATATGTATGTACACATGTATTTGTATATACATGTGTTTGTATGTATATACATGTGTATGTGTATATATATATATATATATATATAAATATCTGGGGCTGACACTTGCCTCTTTTTAACTGTTAGCACAATGCCCTTTGGGGCTAAGCCTGATCTCACTTCAAAACCACCCTTCAAGTACTTGGGTCACCTCAAAAATCTACCCTTCAGGCCAAGCATCCCTAGTTCCTTTAGATCATTCCCACAAGACATTATCCGGAAGACTTTCACCAGCCTGCTTGTATGTCATAGTCTTGGACCACAGTAAAAGATTTAGAGCTGGAAGGGACTCTAGAGGCCATCAAATGCAACTCTTTCATTTTTACAGATGTGGAAACTGAGGCATGGAGAGGTTAAGAGACTTGCCCAGGATCATGTGGCTAATAAGTATCTGAGGCAGGATTTGAACTTAAGTCTTCCTGACTGACAGTCCAGCACTTGATCCACTGTGCCCCTAAGCCCAACCCCCTCACTTTACCTATGAGGAGACTGAGGTCCAGTGAGGGTCCATGGATTTGCTTAAGATTACACAGCTAGTGGGTGGCAGAGCTGGGAGCCCTCTCACTCCCAATAAAGACTTTCTGCTCATTCTATATTCACTGATGTTCATTCTCCTCATCCCATTTACACTGAGCTGTGAGCGGTCCCAGCTCTTCTTTCCTCCTCTTGTTGTCCCATACATAGCTTAAAACAGCCACTTTTGGCTGCCCTAGCATTCATCATCAGCCTTGACTCATTCTGAGTTAGTGCATATGACATTCTTCTCAGAGGACCATGACATACTTTTATTTCCTGCCCATGTACCCATATTTTACACATATCTTTTAAACTGGGAGTTCCTCAGCTCCCATACATGTACACACACACATATGTGCATATTAATGTGTATATATACATACATGCATGTATGCACACGATATGTACGCATGTACATAAGTATATGTGTGTATAGACACACATATATACATAGAAAGAGGGGGAGGAAGAAAGAGAGAGAGAAAGAGACAGAGAGATGAGAAAGAGAGGAGAGAGAGATGAGAGAGGAGAGAGAGATGAGAGAGAGAGGAGAGAGAGATGAGAGGGAGAGAGCACATTAGACAGCAAAGAATAAAATGCTGCTTTAATTGCTCACTCCCCAGTAAGTGTCAAATTTATATATTATTTCTTAGAAGTCAAATCAAACTATTGTGTTTAGTATGTGCCAGGTACTATCCTAAGCCCTGAGGATACAGAAAAAAGCTAAAATATGGTTCTAACTCTGAAGGATCTAGGTAGTCTAGTGGACAGCATTCTGGTCCTGGAGTCAAGAAGACCTGAGTTTAAAATCATCTTCAAACCCTAGCCTGTGACCTACCCTGGGCAAGTGACTTAACCTCTCTCCCCATTTCCTTATCTGTGAAATGAAGATGATAATAGTATCATCTACCTTCCAGGGTTGTGGAGAGGAGCTCAGCTACATGAATTCTGGGTATTTATTATTCTAATGGGGGTAATCAACTTGGTACATACAAGCAAGATATATAGAGTCAATGGGAGGTAATCTCAAAGGGAAGGCACTGTTGGTGAGAAGAGGGGTCATGGAAAAGGCTTCCTGAAGAAGGTGACATCTGAGTCAGAGAAGCCAGGAGGTGGAGGTGTGGAAGGAGAGCAGTCTTTTTTTTTTTCTTTTAAAATATTTAACTTTTCCCCAATTGCATGTAAAAGCTTTATTAACATTCATTTTAGAGAAAAAAAATTGTTCCATATTCTCTCCCCACCTGCACCACTGAGAAGACAAGTAATTTGACAGACCAAAAAACAAACAAACAAAACCCAAGAAAAATAGTTTTAAAAAAGTATTTCAACATGCATTCAGACTCCATAGTTCTTTCTCTGCAGGTGGATAGCATTTTTCATCATAAGTCCTTCAGAATTGTCTTGGATCATTGTATTGCTGAGAAGAGCTAAGTCAATCACAGTTTGTACAATATTGCTATCACTGTGTACACTGTTCTCCTGGTTGTACTCACTTCGCTTTGTATCAGTTCATGTAAGTCTTTCCAGATGTTTTCTGAGAGTCCTGCTCCTATAGCACAATAGTATTCCAACACAATCATGTACCACAACTTGTTCAGCCATTCCCCAATTGATGGGCATCCCCTCAATTTCCAGTTCTTTGCCATCATGAAAAGAGCTGCTATAACTATTTTATTACATATAAGTCCTTTTCATTTTTTTTTTTAATCTCCTCGGGATACAGACCTAGTAGTGCTATTGCTGGGTCAAAGAGTATGCACAGTGTTTTTAGCCTTTTGGGCATAGTTCCAAATTGGGAAAGAGAGCATTCTAAATCTGAAGGACAGCCAGTGCAAAGACAGAGAGGCAAAGGCCGGTGTCATGGGATCATCACTAACAGTGAAGGGGAATAGTGTAAGAAGGCTGGAAAGTTAGAAAGAGGGCAGCTTGTGAAAGGCTTGGAATGCCAGACAACTGTAGCTGATCCTGGATGGGATTGAGAGCCACTGGCACTTTAGGAAGGTCACTTTGACAGCTGAGTGGGGGACGGACTGGAGTGGGGAGAGACTGGAGGCATGGAGATCCACTAGCAGTCTGGGTGCCTGCAAAAGTCCTGTTTAAGTGACGAGGACTGTACCGAGGTGGAGGGTGCTTGCTGTGAAGGTAGAAATAACAAGACTTGAGCAACAGATTGGAAATGCCGGGTGAAGGAGAAGGAGAAGGAGAAGGTCCTGAGTCTGTGTGACTGGGTTGGATGGGAATAATTTTTCCTAGCTATTAGGAGGGATTTAGAGATTATGTAGTTCAGCCAGCCTCATCTCAGAGATGAGGAAACTGAGGGCGAGACCTGTTGTGAGAAAGTCTTTGAAAGCCCTTGGGAGTTATTGTAAATATGTGGCCCACACATTTTCGAATAGGATCGGGGTCTGTCTTTTCCAAACCCGATTCTGTCTCTACTACCCTAAGAGCCGGGGTCATGGAGATGGAGATGGAGAGCAGAGGGGAGGAGGGGAAGAGATTGCCACCCTGCCTAGAAATCAGAGAACATCCTCTTCGGGCTGCCCTCGGCCTTGGGCTGCCCTCCCGATCTGCCTCCCCTGAGGGCAGAATCCCGACAGCCTTTCGCCTCGTCCTCCAAGATCCCTCCCCTGCCTGAATCTCTCGCCCCACTGTCCTGCAATAGTGAGGATGAGACTCAGGTTGGGGTAGAGACGGGAGGGGCCGAGGGGCGGAGAGGTGGGCGGCTCTCGGTTGGTAAAGCTACGGGGCGAGGGGTGGGTCTCCGTCCTCTGTTTTAGGGGCGGGTAGCCGCTGCTGCGGACCCTACATAAGGAGGTTGGGTGCCTGGGCCGCCCTTCCTCTCTACAGGGACGCGGGAGCTGGGGGCGGGGGCCAGGTGACCTGGGTCCCCCGAGGCCGGGAGCAGGAAGTTTATGAATCCGCCAGACGCCTTCTCCTGCTTCCCCACCCTGGGCTTGGCGCTGGCGCCACCCTCTCCGTCGGGGTTGCCCTCATCGCCGGTGCCCCCGCCGCAGCTGCCAGCCAAGGCGGAGTCGAGCGGGGCCGGGCCGGGTAGGGAAGAGCCGGCGACCGTCGGGCCGGGCCGAGGGGAGCCCGGGGCGGTCGGAGCCGTCGGGGGCGGAAGGCGGCGCAAGCGGCCGGTGCAGCGCGGGAAGCCGCCCTTCAGCTACATCGCCCTCATCGCCATGGCCATAGCGCACTCAGCCGAGCGCCGACTCACCCTGGGCGGCATCTACCGCTTCATCACGGAGCGCTTCGCCTTCTACCGGGACAACCCTCGAAAGTGGCAGAACAGCATCCGCCACAACCTCACGCTCAACGACTGCTTCGTCAAGATCCCCCGCGAGCCGGGCCACCCGGGCAAGGGCAACTACTGGGCCCTCGACCCTGCGGCCCAGGACATGTTTGACAGCGGCAGCTTCCTGCGCAGGAGGAAGCGCTTCAAGCGCAGCGACCTCAGCACCTACCCCGGCTACTCTCCGACACCCAGACCCGGGCCTCCCGAGCCGCCCGGGGCCAGCGCTTTCGGGCCGCCCCCGCCGGCAGCCGCGGCCCGCGCGCCTCCCTATTCCGCGTCGCTCTACGGGGTGGCCTACGCTGCCACCCAGACGGCTCCAGTGATGGGGCCCGGCCCCCAGCCCCTGCAGCCCTACCCGGGGGGCTCGGGGGCGGCGCCCCCGCCTCCTCCTCTGCCCCCGCCGCGAGTGTTCAGCATTGACAGCCTCATCAGCTTCCAACCTGGCCCCGACGGGGCGGCCTTCCCCGTTTCGGAGCCCGGGCCGTGTTTCCCAGGCCCCGCGACGGCAGCGGCTGCAGGGCCCGGTGGTGGGGCGCTACTGGGCAGGGGGCCCCCGGCCCCTGCCCACTCAGTCTCCTACCCTCCCTACCCTGCATCTCCTCCTCCAATGCCTGGTTCGAGCTACGCGCCGCCCGGCAGCCCCCAACTGTATGCGCTGCCCCCCAGGCTGGAGCTAACGACCGCTCTGGCCGGCCCCCAGAGCTCGGAACCCTCAGGGGCGGAGCAGCTGCTGGGCCTAGGTGGACCTGGACCTGGTCCGGGACCTGGGCCAGCCGTCGGCGTCAACGGGCTGACCCAGTTCGGGCCCAGCGGCGCTTACCTGCGACAGCCGGGCTTCGGCGCGGGGCTGGAGCGCTACCTGTGAGCTGTCCCCTCTTTTCATTCGTACTTACATCCTCTTTCAGGAGGGTTCCCTTTCCATCCCCTCTAACTTCTTCTCCTTCTTCCTCTTGCTGTGCTCCCCTCCCATGTCTTACCCTTGCCTCTCTCCTCTGCCCTTCCAACTCCCTTTCTTCCTCACCCTAGCCCCAACCATCCTCCTCTAGGATGTAGTGGGGCGCTGAGGGAAAGGAGGAGGGAAGGAATCCGAGTTGGTTTGGGGACAGGAGGTACCCCTTCCATTTCTCCTCTCTCCTCCCCCATCCTCTCATTCCTCCTGCTGTTATCTCTCCTTTCCTGTCTCTTCCACCATCTTTCTCCTTCCTCCCACGTACCTCTCACTTGTTTCTCTTCTCCTCCTGTTTCATTAATTCAGCAATTATTTATTGAGCTCTTCCTTTCCCACTTCTCCCTATTTCCTCTCCCCAGTACAATGCACACACCCCACCCACCCCCCACCCCCCGCCATAGGCGAGAGTGGGGAGGGTAGGACTCCCGACTGGGTTCATTTTTTTGAACTCCCCGCCCACCGCCACATCCCGCACATCACAACTCCCTCTCTCTTCCCTATTTATCCCTTCCCTCTGTCTGCCCCAATCCCTGCAGTTCACACAGGAGGAGAGACACCTGGAATGTACTTAGAGATCTCCAAAAACCTCAATGGAATATATGACATTGGGACCCGTATCTGCATTCCGACACCTCTCACCCCACTTGCCCAGTAACCCGGAGTCCTTTGTATTTTCTTTTTTAAGCTATGGTTGAAGAATAAAAGTTCCCTTCGGTACAGTGCGTGGCTGTTGAGGGAAGGGAGGGGCTGCGCTGAGCTGTGGGGGTGGGAGGGACTCTAGAGGTCATAGAGCAAACTCTTTCCCAACACGCCTAACAAGGGGCCGTCCAGCCAGTGCTGTAATGGGATGAAGTCCATTTCCTATGGCAGCCCTTTACAACCTGGGACAGCTCGAAGTGTGAGAAAGTTTGTCCTGACGTCCAGCCCAAATCTGGCTCCCTGCACCTTCCTTCCATCATTCCCACTTTTGTTCCCTAAGGCCAAATAAAACAAAGCTGGTTCCTCCTCCCCAAGGCAGGCCCAGCTATCATGTGCCACCCCCACTGCCCCATCTTCTCCAGGGTAAACATTCCTGGTTCCTCGCTAGCCCTGGATTCCTGATCCCTTCCCCACCTGATTGTTCTCTCCTAGGAGCAGTGTTTTGTAAGTCAGTCAGGAAACGAGCATTTTTTAAGGCTCACTATGTGCCAGGCACAAAATTAAGTGCTAGGATACAAGGAAAGGCAAAAACTCATTCCCTGCTGTCAAGGAGCTCACAGTCTAATGAGTCTAATGGGGAGGGGGAGAGGCAACATACAAGCAACTATGTTCAAACAAGCTACAGATAGGATTAAATGGAGATAATCACCAGAATCGGGAAGTGTTAATATAGATAGTATCCTTTGGATACTGTCTATAGGACTTTAAGAAAGCCAGGAGGCAGAGATGAGGGTGGAGAACATTTCAGACATAGAAGACGGCCAATGAAAAAGCCCGAAGTCAGGAGATGCAAGGTCTTGTTCGAGACTGTCACTGGATCACAGACTGGGCATGACTTGGGGGAGGTGGGTAAGGTATACAATAACTAGAAAGATAACAGATTGGGGGCTGGGTCACAAAGGGCTTTAAACTCCAAAAGGAAGGGGATGATGTGGTCAAATCTGCATTCTAGGAAGATCATTTTGACAGCTGAAAAAAAGACAGACTGGAATGAGGAGAGACTTGTGGCAGGGAGACCTACTGGATGGCCTTGGCAATCATCAAGGCTGGGTGGTGACAGTGCCCTAGGAGAGAAGGGGGCATATGTGGCTTATATTATGAAGGTAGAATTGATGCGACTTGCGAGCTGATTTGGTATTGGGGTTAACAGCGAGAAATTGATGATGACACCTAGGTTTCAAGCATGAGTGATGGGGAAGATGGTGCTGCCTTTGACAGTAATAGGACTATTAAGAAGAGGAGAGAGCTTGGGGTGGGGAAAGAGGTCAAAATGCTGCTGTTTCTGACAATTCTGAACTGTGGTATTCTCATGAGAGAGAGCTGTGATACCACTTGATGGGATGGGGGAGCCTATCCCTTATGGGTCACAGCTGCTGTCATATCAGTCACCCTTTCACTCCACAGCAGACTATGTCAAGGTTGCCCTTTTCCACTTGAAAGTTGTGAGATAATCCCCAGAATGTGGTGAGGAAGGCATCCATGTTGAAGACAATACTCCTTTCTCTCCCCCACTCTCCCTCCTTATAACATTAGCAAGGATTGATTAAGGGCCTACTGTGTATACAGTCTTGGCCTGGGCACTGGGAGAAATACAGTGAATGGACCTTATAGTCTAGGAAAGAGAATGAGATACAGATAAGGCCAAAACCATGATATCATGTAAGATTTTGAGCTAGAAGGCACCTCCGAAGTCAGCTAGTTCCACCTTTTCACTTTATAGATGAGGAAACCCAAGCCCTCAGTGAAGGCTTCAGTGCATTAGAGATCAATCAATGAACCAAGTGTTTATTAAGTGCCTACTATGTGCCTGGTACAGTGCTAGGCACTGCAGCCTCAAAGACAAAAGTGAAATAATCCCTGTCCTCAAGGACCTTACTATCTAACAAATGAGGCAACAAATGCCCACATGGGTTGGTCTAAGACACATGCAGAGCTTGAAGGGAAGGCACTAGCAACTGAGGGTGGTGTGGGGGAAGGACTGGGAAAGGGTTATTATTTGAGCTGAGTCTTGAATAAAAGCAGGGATTCCTGGGGGCATTCCAGGCATGAGGGACAGCCTGTGCAAAGGAGCAGAGGTGGGAGATGGAGTTTGATGTGTAAGGAGCAGCACGTTGGCCAGTGCTTGCTGTCTGCTGCTGTTTGTCCTTTGTTTTCTTTCTTTTTCTTTTTCTTTTTTTATTAGTTTATTTTGATTTATCAACAATCACTTCCATATGCTTTTGAGTTTAAAATTTTTCTCCCACTTCCTCCCCACCACCCTCCCCAAGATGGCGCACAATATACAATCCTATTAAACATATTTTCACATTAGTGATGTTGTAAGTAAGAATTAGAACCAATAGAAGAAACCACAAAAAGAAAAAAACAACAAAACAGAAAGGAAAAAAATAACAAATAGTATGCTTCCATCTGCATTCAAACTCCACAGTTCTTTCTTTGGATGTGGATAGCATTTTCCATCATGAGGCCTTTGGAGATGTCTTAGATCCTTGTATTGCTGAGAAGGGTTAAGTTTATCAATATTAGTCATCGCACAGCGTGGCTGTTACTGTGTACAACATTCTCCTGGTTCTGCTCACTTCACTCAGCATCAGACCATACAAGTCTTTCCAGGTTTTTCTGAAGTCAGCCTGTTCATCATTTCTTATAGCACAATAGTATCCCATTACATTCATATACCACAACTTGCTCAGCCATTCCCCAAATGATGGGCATCCTGTCCTTCATTCTCGAAGAGGACCATGGTATCAGGGAGGTGATGCCATGACATGCACATGAATTGGATTTAAGTGAGGGAGGGCTGTGCAAAGTCACCAGCCTCACTCTGTCCTCCAGACCCATCTGGGTCCAGTGGCCAGATATCGATCAGTATGACTGGAGATGGCTCCAATGCAGTGAGGGACCTTGACCTTTTCAAGCTAAGATCTTTAACAGGTCTCAGTTTGACTGAGGCAGAAAGTGAGGCTTTGTTGGCCAATACAGCTGGATCGTGGAAGGTATGGAAGGGAGCAAGGTGTATTGAAACCGGAAAAGTAGGAAGGCATCAGGTTATGAAGGGCTTTGAAAGCCAAACAGATGAATTTATGGTTGATTCTAATGGTAATAGGGAGCCCCTAGAGATCACTGAGCGGATTATGGAGCAATTAAACTTATCTGTTTAAATGCTGCTTTCCTTTTGTTGAATATAAGTTCCTTGAGATCTTAGCTTTGCATGATGCTTGGTGCATATCAAGAGCTCAACAAACACTTGCTGAATTGAATTTTTGTATCAGACTCTCCTTAAATATCCCCTTCTTGTTTACTTGGCTGTTGTGTCTGTTTTATAGAAGGTCCCTCCCTGATCTTTTTGTAGAGAATGCCTTGGATGGAAGCTCTAACTGCATCTGCATCACCGCCATTACATAGAATGTGCTCCACAGAATCTGAGGTGTGAGAGATTCAAGAATAGTATGATACTCATGCCAGAAAATATCTCTGACCTTTCCTTAGAGACCTACAGTATAGGTAAACCAAAAATCCTGAGGAAGCCCATTCCGCTTTGTTGGGGGTTTCCCCTGACTAAAACTAAATCTAGGGACAGCTAGATGGCAAAGTGGATAAAGCATCGGCCCTGAAGTCAGGGGGACCTGAGTTCAAATCCGGCCTCAGACACTTGACACTAGCTGTGTGACCCTGGGCAAGTACTTAACCCCATTGCCTAGCCCCCCCCCCCCCAAAATCCCAGGAAAACAAAATCTGCTTCTGTAGTTTCTCTCCTTTGCTGAGTGGTGGCTGTTTTGTTTTATCTTTGCTTTCCCAGCACCTAGCACAGTGCCTGGCACTTAGTAGGTACTTACTGAATAAATGATTGAGTGCCTTTTGGTGAGCTGAGTTAATAAAACTAATCCCTGTTTTACAAGATACCCCTTCATAAACTTGAAGGGGACAGAGTGGCAGAGTAATCAGAGGACTGATCTTAGAGAAAGTCCCAGGTTAAAATCTTTACCCTGACATTTCCTGGCTGTGTGACCTCTGGCAGGTCACCTAATGTCTCTGAGCTTTAGTTTTTACATCTTTAAAGTGAAGATAATAATACCTGCAGTGTTTACCTACACTCTCCAAAAAGGAAAAACGGCTAAAATTATACCTGTCTTCCATCTTTTAAATGCATTGAGTATAGGTGAAGGAAAGCTGATTTCTCTGATTCTACTCTAGTGAGAGGGTAACACTTAGTTTAC